CAACTTCATGCTCGTCTAATGGTGGGCGGTGTAACGGGGTTTGATTGCACTCGTTAACAAACCTTTTCTATGAGGCTATGTGATCCGCTTTCGAAAAGACTTGCAGGGACTTTTTCGGTTCTAAACCCAATTTTTCCTCCGATTATCTTTTCAGTCCAAGCCATCAACAGACCCGACAGATGAAACACCGGAATAAAATTTGAAGAATATCTGTAACCTGCCTGACCCAACCAACGACAAGGCACCTAGTTCTACACTTCCAGCCTGTCATCAGCCCACTGTTTGATGAATGAATTGCTCTTCTTCTTCCTTTCAAAACTGTAATTGTTGTTGATGCTGTTATTGTTGGTCTGTGAATTCCTGAGTGGGGAAACTTTTTCAAACGTTATGTTCGCCACACCAGAAGTAGACAAATACCAATTTTGCTTTACATCATCATCATCATCATCATCATCATCATCATCATCATCATCATCATCATCATCATCATCATCATCATCATCAACAACAACAATAACAATAATATGTACTTCGTGCTTGATCACAAAGTATTATGAATTGTTGACTGAGAATGATCTGAGGTGTTCTTACTGACATTGATTTGCGAACATGTTTTTTGTTTTTAGCTGTTCCAAATTGTGAACTTGATTAAAAACAACTGGCTTGCAGCAGGAGTGTGTAAGCTTTTGTAGTTGTGTGTGTGCGCACCAGTACTATCAGGATCCATCAAATCAAACACTCTGGATAATATGGATTTAGTTGAAAGTTTTTTAAAATTTTCATAAGGTCGAAATGAATGTTGTAGCCTAAATAAGTTTGATTCTAATTACAACCACATAGAATCTAGAAGACAATGTGTAATTTTACAATAATGTCAAGTGAAGACTAAAACTAAAATAAAAAAATAAAAAAAAGGAATTGAATTTAACAATAATGAAAAAAAGGCCCCCAAATTTTGTAGACCTTACGCCAAAGACAGTCGGTAATATTCTGTTATACAAACCCCATATTCAACATTCATTAAATAAACAAACGCCTTTAGTTAGTTGAATTACAGAGTTGTATCAGCAATCTTTTACTGGTTGTCTATGCACTGACCGATCCAACCGGACCTTTTATTTGGGTCGACATTAATAACGAATGTTGCTATTTTTATTTATTTTATGGTCTTTCTTTTCTGTGATAAATAATTTTAGACTTTCATATAACCTTCTTTATTTTTTACATACCGTGTATAGATAATGAATTCAACAATATGATTGAATGAAATATGCCATTCTTATACTATGTACAGATTAGATAAAATTATATATGTATACATATTATGATAATGTGTATATGTATACATATTTTATATATATATATGAAGTCAGTATATTATGTGTATATAATATATACATTGTATATTATTATATTAATATATGATTTAGTATACACATGCACATGTGTAAATATGCAATAATTTATAATAACATCATGTTGACCACAATTCGATTGCAGTGATATCTATCTATCTGTCTATCTATCTATCTATCAATCAATCAATCTATCTATCTATCTATCTATCTATCTATCTATCTATCTATCTATCTATCTATCGATCGATCTATCTATCGATCTATCGATCTATCGATCTATCGATCTATCGATCTATCGATCTGTCTATTATTGGGTGCTCAATTCAGGCACGCCGCATGACTGGGGTCCTTGCATGAGGCTGGCGAGTACATATAAAATATGTCAGTTCGTCCAACAGTTATTGTGACTATTGAGTTTTACAAACAGCGAAATTCTTTTAAATACTTCTCATTAATATCACTCTTGCAGACTCTCTCGGTACATGTACTTGCAAACTAAAAATTAAAATGTTAAAGTTTCCTGATCCAACGAATGACTTAAGAGAATTGTCAACATATGGAACTACTCCTGAATAATATTAAAAAGAAAGTTTGATATAGCTGATTAAAGCCGAGCCTTCCTGTGTTTATCATTTATTTATATTTTGTAAGCTTATTCGTTGTTTTTTTTGTTTCTTGAATTTGAATACCGGATTAGAAGTTGAAGAATGTTATTCTGAAGGAGGTGCACAAAGTTCTCCTACGATATTCCAAAGAGAACAAGATCGTTTTGGTCTAGCGGATTCCAACATGGATCACCCGCGCTTTGTCGGACAGTTTTGTGAATTTCTATTTCTGTGCGAGTTCAACAGAATACAGGTCTAGATCTAGGCTTACACGTAGAATTTGGAAAATGGTAGACAACTTAAAGAGGTGTCGCAGAGTTGCAGAAGTAAGAAAAATTCGACCCTTTAGTCTGTTTGTAAAATACATTTATATCACACGACAACAACCCATTCATGAGAGCATCGAATGAAAGAGAGGAATAGAGAACCATGAGCTCCAATGTTTGCTCCAGACAAGATACATAATAGTGGTGGTGATGTCACGACATTAGGCCTTCCTATGGCCACATCACTTGATGATCGGGGACGAGAAGAAAAACGCCAATTCAAATAACGCAAGAGTGCACTACTGTTGCTCATAACGAATGATCCCAATGAATTATAGTTATGATGATGATGATGATGATGATGATGATGATGATGATGATGATGATGATGATGAGGATGAGGATGATGATAAAAATAACAATAACAATAATAATTCGTCCGTCAATGTCTGACGATGCCCACATTCGCTGAGGAGAATATTTCGCGAAATAAAAGAATTAGAAGAAGTGAAGTTGAAGGTTAAGACGGAATGTGGCTTCTGCTGTGCTCAATAAAACCAATTTTTGCAGAGAAAAGTTTGCCACATTTTGAGTATTCAAAAGCTCCACTTCCACTAAGACTTGTGAATGTGCACAGATCACGGGCTTGTCTCTTGGTCAAGCATGTCTTACCCGTAAAACCTTTTTATAACTTGCTCCCCATTCCCACTGTGACTGCTGCTCTCCAAAAGGCACTCCCATGTCGAAGGATTTAAGTAGAACCTCTCAGAGACACTTTGTTTTAGTAACTGTTTTACTGTGCTTGCAACACAATAAGGTCATACATGTATAAAGAGCCGAAGATTAGAGGTGTTACAAGAGAGTAACAAATAGTATACACACACACACACACACAC